ATCAGTGATTTCGAGGAACAATGTAGGCACATTTGAGCACTAAAGCTAAACACTAAAGCAGTGATTATAAGACTTGTTTGATCAAGATGGGTGATAAACCGGTAGTCATTCTTGTTGATTTTTAAGTTTTACTGCCGTAGTATGTTGAGCTAGGCTGTGTGAATGGTATATCAGTTAGGGTGATACTGATTAGTAATTTAAGCCTGGAGGTAAATTGTGATAGGCTTTTTAACTATCACTGTGTTAAGTAGTTGCTAGTTAAAAATGACTTCTATTGGGGAGTATAATATTGAACTTTCTGATATGTTCTTAGAAAGGTGCACTGAAGAACAACTCTTAGAACTTGCAGAAAAGTATTCTATTATTTTAACTAGTAATGATAAGAAACGCAAGGAGGATATTGTAGCGAATCAGCTCATGGGGAAATATGAATAATTAACCATAACTAGTTATAATTAACTATTCATATATTAGATCCGCTGTAGATATTTAGCTGACCACTCAGGGTCAACTGTCTTGTCAATTCTAAGAACCTTCTGAAAACTCCAGAACGACGTAAACGTGTCCAGATTTGTCACATAAACCTCCTCAAGCCTTATTTCCCTTCGGCATCATCGGTTGCATTGGTTACCACTGTGTTAAATAACTCCGTACGGTTGAGTGAGGATGGGGATTCTCCTCAGCAGAGTTCTTATTTGGATTTCGTCGAGGATGACTGTGTTCATTATCCTTCTTGTGCGGTCATCGAAGGACGATTAAACAACGCTGAAATGTATGCTAAATTGGCTCAGAATTTACCACATCTTTCTCAATCTAAGAAAAATTATGTTCTTCAGTTAGTTAACTCCCTGGGTCGACGGTCACGCTAGCGCGACCAGCTCACTATTTTTAGGATCAGTGCAAAAGACACTAAAAACGCTCTGTTGATTTTGGTCACACAAATAAGTGTTATATATCATTCGAAACTGATAAGTCTACTTTTATTTGTGTACGCTCACAATAACAACAAAACAAGCAGGGTGCGCTCTCTGTCTCCGCGAATATCCATCTGAAACGCATTACTAAAGTGAGCTGAAACTCAGCGAATACTCGGCACATAGACATGTAAGTCATATCTATAGAAAGCTTGAAATGTCTACTTTTAAATGAAGTCTTATCGAAAACAAATATTCCGTGATAAAGTAATCCATATGAAACCAACCAGATGTTCAGTCTTTACCGTCAAAACTCATTATCTCTAATGAGATCCCGTCCACGCGGCTCACGCCCTTCATATGATAATATCCATGTGAGACGCGCGCACATGTAAACGCCCAATGTAAACAAAGCATGAGGATAGTGAAGTTCATCGCGCCTACTGCTGGTTTCTGGAAGAAGACGCACGGTGAGTAATAAGCCAGAATTTACCTCTCTAGAAAAAGAACCAGATGCGACGTGCTGCTTCATCCAGCAGAGGAGATCAATCTGATGAGTAAGTAATGTTTCTTTTTTGCATTAGTTAACGCAGTGGTTCTCAACCTGCGGCCCGTCACGAATTCAAATGCGGCCCACCATGCTGAACACACTTTTTAAAAAATGTCTTTCAGTTTTACAATTCATTTTAATTTTTACATTAATTAAAATATGTACTAAATAAATATAAGCTATAGCCTAATGTTTTTATGTAAAATAATTTTGTTTTTCATATATTATTTTCAGACATGAGCAGTACTCACATAGCCTAATTAACGTTACGCATTTAGAATTGTCAACGAATACATCAATCAATGTAAAGTAAATACGCTCTTCTATCTTAACTTCAAAGGGTGTGTCTTGTCAGTGGTTCCTAAACACACATATAGATGATGGTTTTATTCACAGAACTATAAGACAACACATGATATTAAAATGTAAACAAATACATCAATTAATTTCCTATTATTAAAATTGAGATAGTACTCTTCTATCTCAATTTTTAAGGGTGTGTCTTGATACTTGTTCCTAAAAGAACATTTCAATGTTGATATTATTCACATAACTATAAGACAAAAAACTTATTGAAATGTAAAAATTGAGAAAAAGCTTATTAAGATACACCGCCCCCTAGAGGAACACATTGCAGTTGTTTTGACTGAGTTTGATATTCAGAAATGTGAATAAATAAATTTAAAATACACAGAGTCTGACATTTAAACCTCAAAGGGTGCGTCTTGCTGCTGGTTCATAGAACCACATTTCTATGTATCTTTTAATTTCATAAGAAAATTTGGATACATGCCATTGAATCAAATTCAAACCGATTAAAATATAATTTTTGTAAACACACAGCATTTTATCTCATCTTCAAAGGCTGTGTCTTGTTACTGGTTCATAGAATAACAGTTAAATATTGGTTGAATTTGCAGAACTATAGCACACCACATGCTATTGAAATGTAAGCACATATATCAATTAATAAAAAATACAAATACTCTTTTATTTCAGCTTTATGGGGTGTGTCTTGAAATTGTTTCCTATAATGACATTTAGATGTTGGCTTAATTCACAAAAGTGTAACACAACAAAAGCTATTGAATTGTAAAAACTGAGAAAGAGCTCTGGAAGCTTCCCAAAGAGTGTGTAGTACACCACCCCCTAGAGGCATACACTGCAGTTGCTTCGACTGAGATTGATATTCAGAAATGTGAATAAATAAATAAAAAATACACAAAGTCTGACATGTCAACTTTAAAGGATGTGTCTTTTTACTGGTTGATAGAACAACATTTACATGCTGGTCTCATGCACAGAAATATAACACGACACACAATATTGAAATGGCAACAAAAACATCTATTCATTTCTAATAAATTCTTCTGTCCCAATTCTAAGGGGTGTGTCGTGTTACTGGTTCATGGAACAACATTTACATGGTGGTTTTATTTGCGAAACAGCAACACAGCAAACACTATTGAAATGTAAGGATTGAGCAAAAAGTATTTCACAGCTTGTGCAGTACACCGCCCCCTAGAGGAACATGTTGCATTTGTTAAGACTGAGTTTGACATTCAAGCATTTAATAAATTAATTTAAAATGCAACTTCAAAAGCTGTGTCTTGTTACATGGGCCTAAAAGAGCATTTCCATTCAGGTTTTACTCTCATTTGTCATTCAGGATACATGCTATTGAATTAAATTCAAATCTGCTAATAAATTCATTTAAAATGCATGCAAAATGGATTCTTTCTCAAATCCAAAGGGTGTGTCTTGTTACTGATTCCTAGAAGAACATTTTGATGGTGGTTTTAGTCACAGAACTATAATTGAACACATACTATAGAAAATTAAACCAATTAGGGGGCAGTAATACTGGAGAATCTTTAGAAGGTTCCGCAAGCAATTTTTGAATGTCAATAGTATGACTTCTGCATCTCTTTTGACAATGAAAACTACTGCAAAATGTTCTTTAAGAAATCTGTAACAAGACACAGCCTATAAAGCTAAGGTAGAAGATTGTATTTATTTTAAACTAAATTATGTATTGGCTTAATTTTCTATAGTATGTTCAATTATAGTTCTGTGTCTAAAACCACCATCAAAATGTTTGTCTAATCTGAAACAAGACACACCCTTTGAAGTTGTGTAATAAAACTGAAATTAAAATGAGTTTATTAAAAATTAGATTTTCAAACTCGTCAAAACAACTGCAAAACAACACTCTTTTGCCAAATTGTTGAATTGCAATAGCATGTTTTCTGTTATAGTTCTGTTACTAACACAAACATAAAAATGTTCTTATAAAAACAGTAACGAGACACACCATTAGGTTGATAGAGAAGAGTGTTTTTTTTTTTAATTGGTTTAAATTTCAATAGCGTGTACTTTTTTGGTGTCATACTTCTGTGAAAACAACGAACATTAAAATGTTATCACAAGGACCTGGAATCAGCCTACTGCATAACCACTGGATTATGGAATGATAATGATTTGTAATATTGTTTTTATTATATTATTATATATGTTAATAGTAATAATATAATAATAACCCCTATCACATATCTTGTTTACAATATTTCTTATTTAAATTCAAGTGAGCATTATAAGTGTTTGTCTTTATATCTTTCAAAGACCTTAGTGCACAAATTGCTCTTGTTTTGTTAATTGTAAAAACACATTTGGGTGGGAAAACATTAATCGTTTTATCCTTTCACATGTACTTTGTAGACGGTCCCTAGCTGGCCTAAGCGCTAGTGCGCCGCTGCTAGAGACTTTATGCCTTTCAACATACAGAGGACGATTAAAACAAATAAATTGCAATGTGTGATCTACGTTCTAATGCTTTTCAGATAAGCCATTTTTTAATACAATTATACTCATCCTCTAAGAATTTATTGACGTTTTTCGCGGCTGAATATCTGTCTAATATCCAACGTCGAACCAACTTTATATAGGCTGTTTGCAGGAGATGCATCATCATCATAGTGCTACTAACCAGCAACAACTGTCACGTGAAAACAATACCGATAAAGCCAATAACTGCATGAACTGTTTAGCTTGACATCAGTACATATTAGTCAAATTAATAAACAATGCGCCGCTGCTAGAGACTTTATGCCTTTCAACATACAGAGGACGATTAAAACAAATAAATTGCAATGTGTGATCTACGTTCTAATGCTTTTCAGATAAGCCATTTTTTAATACAATTATACTCATCCTCTAAGAATTTATTGACGTTTTTCGCGGCTGAATATCTGTCTAATATCCAACGTCAAACGTCGAACCAACTTTATATAGGCTGTTAGCAGGAGATGCATCATCATCATAGTGCTACTAACCAGCAACAACTGTCACGTGAAAACAATACCGATAAAGCCAATAACTGCATGAACTGTTTAGCTTGACATCAGTACATATTAGTCAAATTAATAAACAATTAAGGTTCGTATAATACACAGTCAGCTTGTGGTGACAGCAGACAAACTGAAATTTAGGCAGCCTGCTAACCACTTAGCATCATATATAAATATTGTTTATCTTACGCTTTATGCAGCTTCAGGAGCGCTTCTTCTTCATCATCACCATTATCACCATCATCCCAAAAGACAGGCTGATAAATAATCGATGGCAGCCGTCATTATTTGCTTGGATATACACACGTTATGTAGTAGCTGCTATGTGTTGTTCTGATGAGTGTTCATTGTGTGTGTGTGGGGGGGGGGGGGGTCTTTGTAGCAACACCTGGACC